ATAATTAATCTCATTCATTGCATCATTAAGATGCATTTCGATTTCAAGACATTTAACCTCCGATCCATTTATTGCTGAATGATTTCAATAACATCTGCGATTTAACTTTCCAGTTTAATAACGTTCGTTATCTTTCATCAATGTCCCTTCTTAAATGGAATCCATGGAATCAGTGTAATTAATGGCTATCCCAATAACCATTATTGCATCCATTTTCTCATTGTACTTTGAATAAACGTTGACCTCAGTGATTTGATCAAATATTTTATATTGATAACTTTATAGGAAAAAAATTCTGTCTTGTGGCTGCATGTAAAGTTTTACAGTTTATTGTAGAATATAAAGTTCAAGCTTGTTTCATATAAATATGGTGCCGTATACAAAAGAAAAACGTAATACAAAGAGATGAACCCATTTAAATTCCATTTATTCCATATTTCTCATCCGTGGCACCATAAGGTAGAGTAATTCTCTATTGGCAACACTATATAAATACCATTCATAAATTAGGATTGTCTTCAGTAATAATTTAAGTAGTGTTGAATAGCGGTCAGTATATACAGAGATGCCAACTTGCTCCGTTTTGTAAAAAATATTATCTAGTGGTGACGAAATTTAAGTTCTTTTTAGTTTAGTATTTTTCCTTTTAAGTAATTAATTTTTTCCACCACTACATACCAAATATTCGAAGTATCATATTAAATTCAACTTAATTGCAATTATCTCGTGGTTTCTCTTACAAAGAGTGGGCGTAATTATTTTTATTCTACAAGCTATTGTATTTAATTTGCTACAAATTTATTAAAATGTTCCTAAAAAGAGAGCAAGTTGGTATCCTTGTAAATATTTAGAGTTGTTAAAGCAATTGTCGGCAGCTCAAATTACAAGATGTTGGCAAACTCAACAAAGTAATGGTATATTGGTGATTTTGATTATGCCAACTGTTGGCAAAGTCCCCTTGCCGTGAGGCTAACCATGGGAGGCTTTCTTGGCTTTCCTCCCCATGTAACGCAAATGCGGGTTATTTGCATAAAAAAATCCTGCATGAAGGCACATAACAAGATATTGGCAACTCAACAAATTGTTGGTATGTTGTTGGCATAAATTTAGAATAGTTATGTTCTTTTTTATAGAAAAAAGAGCTTAGTTAAGAAATAATAATTTATTTTTGCTTTTAATCCTTTCTAAAATGACTGTAGAAATTTTAAACATAAACAGGGCTATGTCTACCGCTTATTATCATGCCAGTTGATGGGAACGGATTATACAATACTCAAGTTGTGGCTCAATGCTAGAGGAAGTTGTACAGCCCGAAATGGAGCAAAATTGGGATGAGCATGAGTTTTCTATCCTATCTCACGACAGATATAGAAATAGTTTTAATACTTTTGCTGCCAGGAGTAGGGCCTTTCCAGGCTGAAATGTCCAAAACTTATAATTACATTGGTTTCAGCCGTGATGTCTCAGGAGATAGAGCATTCACCTTCCAATGCAGTGAGCCGGATTCGAATCCCCACGACAGCAGGTCGATACGAATTGCGCATCCGGCTTGTACCGACCACAGTGCTGAAGTAAAATATCCTCAGTGGTTGACGGATCATGGGTTAAAATCCCCTTGCTGTCAGGCTAACCATGGGAGATTTTCTTGGCTTTCTTCTCCTTGTAACGTAAATGCCGGTTATTTGCATCAAAAAGCCCTCCATGAAATCAAATGTCTCCCAATACTTGATCCAGGAGTTCCCTTGGCTTCTGGATTAGATTAAAAATTACAAGGCTACGGAGTTAAACATTAGTAATCGTAAACCCAAAAAATTGGGTAGGCTGTTCAACGACGGTTATAAAATTACGCTGGTTTGAGTGATTTAATGTCTGTCGGGCAGATTTTATAAATTATTATAAAGAATTTAACAATACCGCTGGCATTTCTTGAGAATAATTAAAATCGAAATCCAAGAACTAAATCGCGGATAACAGCTAGACGATGAAAACTGCTGTTAATACATTTTTTAAGACTAATTAAGGTCTTCGGATCGGAATAAGAGTTGAGGAATCTGAGTACTTAAATACAGTTCTGGCAGGGCTTGGGTACCATTAAATTGTATAAGTTGCACAAGATAATATTGAAAAGTTATCAAACTTGTCGATATATAACGGCCTTAGGCACCCACATAAATTTTGATGATGATGACAGGTCGATATAGGCGACTAGTTAATTAATATTTCACGAAATATATATTGTATATGAACATTTTACATGCTAATAAAAGAAGGGGTTCACTGTTTTTGTCACCACCTTGGTTGGTGACAGTTTGGTTGGTTTGTGTCGTCAGAGGAAGGTTCTTCGTTTCACCGTCAGTTATCAATTATGTAGCAAACGGTTTTCTGCGTCCTTCTCATTGTGTTTCAACTGTCCGAGTGCTTCGATATTTCCTGATCTCACACCCCTTGACTTTTTCTTGTGAGGGTGAGGCTATGTTAAGGATACTGTTTAGTTTAGTCTCATAACTCCAGCTGACTTACAAAACCGGTCCCTGCTGCGGAGAACTCAGTAACACAAGATTGTCACTATCAAGTTATGCAGTTTCACGTGTGGGACGGGTTTTACTACGTCTTAGATATTAACCAAGAGAAGGGGAGGGCATCTTAAACATTTATAACCTATGAAAAACCTTTGAATAGTTGCCTTTTCATTTGTTTGTAAATTACTCATGCCCAATTTATACTCTATTGAATACCAATTAATTAAATTGGGTCTATCTTTTTAACAACCCAGCATTTAAACTGCTGCGTTTAGAACGCAAGATACGGTTCAAAATAAGTTATAAAAAGTTATTTTTATGAAATCATTAAGTTATTTCTATGAAAAGCAACGTAACAAAACTCGATTTAGTATTCAAAATAAATTGCATTTTCCAATGGGAATGGCAAATATCATTCATTATTCGAGAGATGTTTTCACCATTCATTATTTCATTCATAATTCCTGTGATTAATTTCCTCATTAAGACATATTTCGATTCGAAGACATTAAACCATCGATCCATTCATTGCTCAGCGAAATACAATAACATCTGCGTTTTAACTTTCTCCTTTAATAACGTCTGTAGCCCTTCATCAATGTCCTTTCTTAAAGGACTTCGTGGAATCAATGTAATTAATGGCTATTCCAGTAACTATTATTACGTCTATTTCCTCATTGCATTTCAAATAAACGCTGACCTCAGGGATTTGGCCAAAGATTTTACGTTGAACACTTTGCAGGGGAAAAAATTGCTGCCTCGTGGCTATATGCAGAGTGTTAAATGAATTACTTCTTTTTGCCATGCGATGGTTGTAGAACTTTTTCTTTTAATTTTTGTTAGAGGATACGCCCTTGGACCCCATGAGATTCAATCTCTCTTAGCGAAGGAAATTGAGCGGGAGGATAAAGTGCGTATATGAGTTAAACGTACATTTGGCAAGGCTGATTTGGTAATGAATACCTTCGCAAGAAATAGTCGTTGAAGAAAAATCGTACAATGAAGTGTTCACTAATTAGAAGCGAGGCTTTAAATGCCTGGAGACATTCCAGACTGAGAAATTGAACGTTAAAGAAACAGAGTTCATTTAAAACATTCATTGGCCTATATTTTGAAGAATATAATCGTCACCTACTGCTATTGTATGGCATGCACGATATTACTTTTACAATGAAAATGTTTTAATGTATCAGAATAATTGCAACGTCTAAAGTATTTCAAAACCCCATAAAATGCTTGCAATTTATTTTAAAAGTGGCTATTTTTGATAGTTTCGAACATTATATGAGAATGACTTCTTGAAAGATAATAAGTAGTTCCGATTTTAATGAATAAAAGAAAATGATTAAATAAATTTATCTAAACTATAAAAACGAAATTTAATCTTTTCAAGTATTTGTTTCATTATTTGACATTTTTTTCAATTATTTGACTAATTTTATCTATCACGAATTCAATAGTACAGTAGAATAAAATTTTTCTCGAATTTTGAGAATTCATAAATCTTTTCAAGATTATTTTCAAAAAAAATTGTATCGAATTTCACGTTGTTGAAGCTCGAAACTATTTACGACAAGGGCATAATATTTAAATTATTGCAAATAAATTATTGCAATTATTCAAATTACTTCTTTTACAAATTCTCTTTGTTTATTTTAATTCTCTGATTAATCAAATATCACACGGATACATTGTTTGATCAAAAACTTGCAGCTTGTTTCAGAAGATACTCACTTACTGGCAATATTGCGCTACAATTTACGCTAGTTAGTTGCGCTTGAGAAAAGAAATTTCAAGAATTTCATATCACAAACATAATATCATAATTAGGAAACAACTCAAAACAAACAAGCATTCAATGATCAACTTATCCAATGATTTAATTATTCAATTAATTTAATTAGTACATTCAATTTAATTAATTAATTTAATCAATAATGTTAAACAATTGAATTAATAAATTATATTAATTAATTCAATTAATCCATTCAATTAATAACCAATTTAAGCAATTTAATTAATCCATTCAATATATTAATTCAGTTAATCAATTCAATCAATTAATTCATTCCATCAATTTAATTAAATCAACCCTATTTTGCCTTTTAAACTTTTTTATTAAATCATTTTAAATAGTTCAATTTGCAGAAATCAATTGGACTTATTCAGTACAATTAACCAATTAAAAGCAATATGTTTTAGAAACAAACGTATTATATTTAGATTTATTTTCTTAAATAGCAATTCTCTTATAACCAAATCATAATTGGATTTAGTGAGCAAAGTATTTACAAATAATTAATGAAAATATGTTTCGATAACTATAGAATTATTATTGCAGTTATATAGAGAGAAATGATAATGATGGTAAAATAAAACAAGAAATAAACATCAAATCTTTAAAAATTCTTTGTTTCTAATTAATAACTTATCCAATTAGTTAATCAATTATTTGCTTATGAATTTTTATTTTCTTTACAGATTGTTTAGCAGAAATAGTGTGAAACGTACAATGCTAAGACCACAATGCCTCAAATATTCAACAGTTTTGCCTCTCAAATATATAGAGCTTAGATATTTCCTATTCGTCGTGAGTTTTATTTTGGCACAGAGCATGTGTTACTTGTGATGAAATGACAACTAGAAATTAATTGCACATTCCTGTCTCTCTCATTAAGTGTTAGACGAAATGGCTTACTACTTGAAGCAAAACCAGTTGGCGACCATGTTGAAAAAGAAGCCAACTTTAAAACGTTTCTACAAACAACGATGGAGAAATCCAGCTTTAGTACTCCTCTCAACGCTTTTCGTCATCGGTTACTTTTCAATGGGCCAAATTACCTTAATAGGATCTGTACTTTCAAGACTACCTTTTAGACCCTGTCCCGATAGGACAACGCCTCCCATACCAAACTTCGACAGGCATCTTTTATCTGAAAAAGCTGATGAAAACAAAACTGCCCAATTTCCTGAAGATCTCTTCACTCTGGAGCAACGAAAAAATGGTGCTGTACTATTTCATTGTCTTGGTTTAGTCTATATGTTCGTCGCCTTGGCCATTGTTTGCGACGAATTCTTTGTTCCTTCTTTAGATGTGATTACAGAAAAGGCTGGAATATCCGAGGACGTAGCTGGAGCTACTTTCATGGCCGCCGGAGGGAGTGCTCCGGAACTATTCACTAGCATTATTGGTGTCTTCATCAGTTACGATGACGTTGGAATAGGCACCATCGTTGGTTCTGCAGTCTTCAACATCCTCTTTGTCATTTCTATGTGTGCCATATTCAGTAAAACTGTACTGGAACTGACCTGGTGGCCTCTCTTCCGCGATGTCACTTTCTATGCCATAATTCTCATCCTACTCATGACATTCTTCCAAGATAATGTCATCTTATGGTGGGAGGCCCTTGTGCTGTTGAGCTGCTACATTTGTTATGTCACTTTCATGAAATTTAATGAACATTGTGAGAAATTCATCAAGAAGTTGCTTAACCGCAATAAAGTAACGCGCGTTGGTAGCGCTGATAAGCTGATGCCACATGTAAGTACTTGCTTGTTTTTTTCCTTCATTCATTGAAAACATTATCTTTATTTACTTAAAATTTATTATCTGATACTGAAATTCTACCTGATAGAATGTTTTCATCTATTAACATCTTAATTTATTATTAATTTTTATTTTACTCTACTAAAAAAATAATTTCCTCTTCTATTGGTTTTTACATTTTTATGATAATGGTAATTTCATTTTATTTTGTACCAAAATATTAAGCGGTGTTTTGTCTATACAATTCTAAGCAAGTATTGGTATTTTGAGTTATAGATTTAGTTGCTTTTCACAAAAAAGCAAATAATATATGGCGTGAAAAATTATAATTTTTTTAAAATATATAAGTCTTTTTTTCAGATTGGTTGGTCTTGGGAAAAATGTATATTTCAGTGAACATAAAATTAGAGAAATTATAAGGCAAACTCAATCGAGGAATAAAAAATATTATCTGAGCCAGACCAAACTGAATATTTCATATGAAACACAGCTAACTTACGAAATGTAAAACTACTCCAAAGTGTAACTTTATTATGACTTTATCTTAGTCATGACACAACTTTATCTTAGTCAACTTTTGTAACTTTATCAACTCTTGTAACTTTATCTTAGTCATGAAACAGACAGATTAACTCTTTTGGTTAAAACTTGTACCCGGCTGCAAGGAGCTAAGTGGCTTCATAGTAGTTTCTAAGTGGCGGGCCTAGTTGGTTGCTATAAAATTCTGGTTATTTATCCGTATTAGGTGAAAGCAGTTAATTAACGGTTTTTCTCACAGTTAACAATCTGTTTGCTCTCTTATTTATGGTTAATTGACTGTATTGTTCAAATATGGTAAAATAACAATTAGTTAAATAGTTATTTAACCCTTTTTCCGTGAAACTTCAAGCATTGTTTGCTTATTAAGCATTAGTAATGAACATTCTAGGCAATGTTGCTCTTCAAACTCCAAGGCAATATTTCGGTGAAACTCCCTTTCTCTTCGAGAAGAATAATTGCTTGATTTCACTTATTATTGTACAAACACCATAATTTGATGATATGAGTGATCAAAAACTGCACTGGGCGTTCTCAAAGTCCTGAACTAACTCTCATAGAGCATTTTGTAGTAAATTATAAAGCAAATTACATAGCCAGACAAATAGACCATCCTTACTGTCAGAACTTAAGCTTTAATGAACGCTTGGAATTCATTTCCAATGGCCACCTATCAAAATCTAGTGGATACTCTTATCAGGCGTGTGCAAGCTATCTTTGATGTGAAAAAATTACCAGTATCATAGTAGCGCATACCTCGAAACTCTCCGAATCCATACCACTTACATAACATGCCCCGGGTACATAACATGTATCCGGATACCAAGTGGTACATTAGTACGCATTACTGGTAGCAAGAGGTAAATTTCCGGCACCAAGTGGTACATTAGTACACATTACTGGAAGCAAGGGGTAAATTACTGGCACCAAATGGTACCATCAGTGGCATACCACTGTACATTATATGTAAATAATACGAGTACATATTGTAAAATGTCTAGGTAAAGTAAATATAAATTCCTAGATTACATACTTATCCCAAAACGTGAGGCATTCTGTATTCTATAAAAGACTTAGGTACTTAATAGAATGCCGACCTTTTTTCATTGCTAGTAACGTGTGCAATTTAGAGATAATCAATTGATAAAATACTCGATAAAAATTTAACCCATCTTCTATTTAATTGATTCTTAAACAAAAAGGGCTTAAAATAAGTAAAGAAAATCTTGAAAGTCTTGCCACATATAAATCTTTTCTATCAAATTTAACATCCCCTTTTATAAATTTCTTTCACAAAATTGACTGTAACGCGCAATTAACATTAATAACTTTTAAGAAAAACCAGGCATAGCCTACATCTAAAGGAAACTATACACTTTTTATCTTATTCTCCTCTTAGAGAACAAGCTGAACTAGTCACCCAGAAATAATGATTAAAATAAACATTCCACCTCATATTCTTCTTTTTTTCTTCTTTTTTTTTGTCTCGTTTTCTCTAAAATGTGTATCGATAACTTCTTTCGAGTTAGGTAAAACTACCGACCATAAATTTAATGACCTGAAGATAGTATCTCGAACTTCTTTTTTCTTTTTCACACTCTTTCGAAACATTGAGATTAAATATTTGAGTTAAGTTTCTTAGATAAATGGTACTTTTTCAGTTTGCAGATTATTTTTCTAACTTTTCCGAGTAATTATGTAAGGGGAAGAAATAGTTACTTTTTAAGAATTATTTTTACGTACCTCGGTATCCTGTTTTTCGAGGCAGAAAATAATTTTAAACTTTTATCATTCCTTTTAAGTTCTAGAATAAAAAATATTAAACATGTTTGCATTCGTGCTTCAAATGAGATTTCTGCAAAACATTTATGTTGAAAGAAAAAATAATTACTTTGTTTTATTTTCAGACCAAAATTAGCTCTAGATTGTTTACATAATAAAATAAAATTTTTAAATAAATGACATTTTCTGATTGATTTTGTTTAAATTCTTTTTAACTTAAAGAATAACTGTAGATAGTTGAGCTTCTGAACAATTTTGCTCTTCATATTTAAATTTAATTTTCTACGTTTTACATAAAAACATTATTGTATAAGACAATTCTGATTATTATCAGTTTAATCTGTTCAGTCATCAGATCAATCAGTTCCAATGGTTCTCTTATCCAATGGTACTTCCAATCCAAATCCAATGGTTCTCTCATTAGCTAGTTGTTTCTTTTCTTATTTAATAAGAAACGAACACTTAATGGATTAAAGGAGATAATATATATTAAAAAATATATAATACTGCAGTTTTTGTTTCACAATTTCTCTGATTAGCTCGTTATTTTTTTATTAATTCAATCAGAAACGAACATTTAATAGATTATGTGAGATAAAACAATTAAAAAAAGTTATTATGGTTTCAATTTTGCATTTTCTCTGGATAACACGTTGTTTCTTTTCTTTTTCAATAATAAACTAACACTTAATAGATTGAGTGAGATAAAGCAATTTTTGGAAAAAAATAAACTCATAATTTTGGTTTAGATTCCACATTTTCCATGACTTTCTTGCTATTTCTTTCCTGATTCTATCTGAAACGAACACTTAATAGATAAAATGAGTTAAAACAATTAAAAATGTTTTTATGGTTTCAATTCTGCATTTTCTCTGGATAACTGGTTGTTACTTCTCTAATTCAATAAGAAATTAACACGTAATAGATTAAGTGAGATAAAACAATTAAAAAAGGTTATTATGGTTTCAATTCTACATTTTCTCTGGATAACTAGTTGTTACTTCTCTAATTCAATAAGAAAATTACACGTAATGGAATAAGTGGGATAAAACAATTTTTTGAAAAAATAAACTCACAACTTTGGTTTAGATTTTGCATTTTCTTTGAATTTCCTGATATTTCTTTTATGATTCTGTAAGAAACGAACGCTTAATAGATTAGGTGATATAAAACAAGCTAAAAAAATAAAGCATTATGATTTTTAGTTCCGCTTTTTATTTATTTAGCTTGCTATGTTTTTCTGATTCAAGAAGAAAAAAAACGAGCACTTAATAGATAAATTTTTACGAGAAAAAACAAATTAAAAAAACATTATGATTTTTTCGATCAATCGTTACCTCTGATTACTTTGATATTTCTATTTTGGTGCACTAAGAAACAAAACTCTGATAAATTAAATAAGATCAAACAAAGTTAATACTATTGACTTAACTTTTTAAATAAACTGATACTCATTAATTCAATCATCAGCTAATTTTTTCAACATCGGGTGGTTTATTTAACCATCCTTTTAACTTATTCATCTTTGATTGATTCATCCAAACATCAATTCAGCTAGCTTGTCATTGATTGATTCATTCAAACATCAATTTAGTTAGTTTATCTTTGATTAATTCATTTAAACATTAATTCAGTTTGTTTATCTTTGATTGATTCATTCAAACATCAGTTCAGATAGTTTATCTTTGATTGATTCATTTAAACATCAATTCAGTTAGTTTATCATTGATTGATTCCTTCAAACATCTATTCAGTTAGTTTATCATTGATTGATTCATTAAGTAAAGGGAGTTCATTATAATGATTCACTGTGATGGTTTGTTTTATTTTAATCATCACAAATGAATCAAAAGTAAAAATTGGTGTCATTTATAAAATATCCGAATATTTTTAAATTAATTATTACTTAAAATTCTTTTCTAATTAGCGTTTTCTCTTATTCACAAAGATCAGATTTCCTATAACATGCTTAATCATATGAACTACCAAAAAATAATTGCGATCCTTAGTACTAAAGTCCTGGTTAGCAACGCAGGCTGGCATTCCTTACGAAAAGATTGTTTTCTTAGAATAAGTTTAAATTATGTGTCAACGCATTCTTTGCATATTTTTACTACCAAATGAGTCTAGACAATTTTTTAACGAGCAAAAATGATCTAAACAATATTGCGTAAGGAACATTGGACATTAAAATTTTCTTAAAGTCAAAGAAATTTTTTTATATGTTTTAAGGGTGAAAGGGTCTAGTATGGACCTTTTTTACAAATTTGTCAAAAAATAATATTTAATATAATTATTTACCTACGAATTATTTTTTAAAAGTAATTTGAAAGATTAGCTCTCTTTTGGTTTATATCTAGAATTACAAAGTTGTTTAGCTCTTGCATATTAAATTTCTTTTTTTTCTTTCTCTTTTTAAAAAAAGGCTGTTTTTGTTCACACTACACGGGGTGTGAACAAGCTATAGACCAAGTGTGGTCAAGTTTGTTAACTAATTAAATAATCATTTATTACAGCTCAGTGAGGTATATCGAAAGACAAATAAAATAGATTTCAATCTATGCCTTAATGGAGAATACGCATTTGCATATTTTAGTTAAAATACTAATTTGTAATAGGGCATTTCACTATGTTAAGAAAGACATTTCAATAGCAAATCAATAAATTTGACACAT